GTTCATCGCGACTGTGCACAAGCTTTTTCCTTACTGCTGCCTCCCTAAAGCACTCAGTGACTGGTTGCTTGTCTTGAAAAGTGCAACATTAATAAATTTGGCTTACTTTAAACCTCCTCAAAACAAACAACCTAAAGAAATCAAACCTTCAACGCTCTAATTATGAACCATGAAAAGCAAAAACAGCTGCCACAGTAATGTTGGTTTTATGGACCCATGTTGGTGGATTTTAATTTATTTATTTATTAACACAGTTCAGAGGCTACAGAGATGCACTTGTGTGGAGTCGTCTAAAGATCCTTTCATGGTACGCAGAGCTTCGCAGACCTGGTTTAGTTAAATCAAAGATGGTGGCAGCGTGTGTGCGCGTGTGTGTAGGACACAGTCAGCAGGAGTTCAGGGGGAAGATATTTACTGAGCTGCTGTAACTCTCTGTCTGTTCTCAGCCATGATGATGGAGCTCGTTTTCCAAACCTTGTATCTACATTTTTTTTTCCTGTGACATCAAAGGTCAAAGGTCAGATGAAAGGCATCACAGTTAGGCAACTGAAGCTCCTCTGCTGCCATCTACTGGCTGTTTTATTCTGTTACTGATGCCTTTACACAGTGCATGTACTCCCTGGCCACTTTATTAGGGACACATTGCTAATACTGGGCCATGTTTTTCCTTCAGAACACATTTTTAGAACTGTATTTATTTTCATACCAAAAATGTTTGATATGTTTACAGGAACATTTATAATGAGAAAGTTCTTTGGTTTCACATTCAGCTAGAGAGGGAGGACGGCTGAGCTCCGACATTTTTCAGTGATGTCACGCATTTTAAACCTCATCTGACAAAATGTAACCTTTGAAGGTCAAAGGTCAGACTTAAACAGACTGCTCCTATGAACACAAAAAAAGAGAAGAGGGGGAGGACACTTATGTATTTCACCCTCCCATTAAGTCGTATTTCCTTTGGTATTTATTGCGTTGTTGTAACCGCTGCTCATTTTGTAATTTGTCTTTCCTCAGTGCTTCTACGCCAGCAGAGATGTGAGCAGAGGAGGGAGGAAAATGAGACGTCTTTCAAATCTTCCTTTAAAAGTGAAGTCAGTGAAATGACGTTTGACTCAACTGCATCATGTACAGTTTTGTTAAAGACTGACTGCAGCTGGGTTTTATCATCTCAGGTGTTCATGACATGTTTTATTTAGAGACGCTTTTGGTTAAATTCATAATTTAGATCATGTGACAGACATCGCATCTTTTTAAGAAATCACACACAGAAACAGTGAAGGGCAGAAGCTTTGATCCTCTTAAAGAACTGAAATAATCCGAATAAAGAGGGCGAGCTGTTAAAGGAGTCCTCATTCTGTGGTTTCTATATTCCAGCTGTGGCCACAGCTGTTTAACCTCTGCATCCTCCATCTGCTGTCCTCCAGATGCCTTTTAGGACCTGGGACATGTTTCCAGCTTCCAGATGTGTAAAAATACATCCCAAAGAAAAGCTCTGGTCTCAGGAGGAAACATAGTTTGTTTGTTCTCCTGTAACATTCAAGGTCAAAGGTCACATAAAACTGTCAGGCGTTGGGAAAACTAATGATCTTCTACTGCTGCCACCTGCTGGCTGTTGTCATGCAGTGACTGATGCCTCTATCTATTTACACACAGGGCATACATTCGGTGGCCACTTTATTAGGTATACCTTGCTAGTCCTTTTTTCTTCTGAGATATTTAAATTCTTCATGGCACTGATTCAACAAGCTACTGGAAACATTCCTCACAGATTCTGGTCCATATTAAAATGACTGCATCACACAGCTGCTGCAGAATTGTCCATGATGTGAATCTCCTGTTAAAACCACCTCCTAAGATGATCTGTTGGACTGAGATCTGGTGACTGTGGAGGCCATTGGAGTATTTCTGTGAACTCATTGTTATGTTCAAGAAATTTGTTTGAGATGATTTGATTTTTTGACATGGCGCTTTATCCAGCTGGAAGCAGCCACCAGACGACACTGTGGTTATAAAATGATGCACACAGTTAGAATACTTCAGCAGGCTGTGGGTTTTGAACTGTCCTCAGTATGGGGTCCAAAATGTGCCATTAAAATATCCCCTGACCAATACACCACCAACGAACTGTTACTTCTCCCTTCTGCAGAAGCAACAGGATCATGCTTCTGCAAAACTCATCAGACCTGTGCTGTAACTCTGCAGTTACCCTCAGTTTAAATCTCTAAAAAGTTCATTTTTCAGCAGATTCTGGTTTATGTGAGTCATCTTCTTCCTTTTCAGAGCAGAATGGCAGGAATATAAAAAGGTTCTCAATTTGAACTTAACTGGATCCACTTCATCATGTCTATATGCCAAAGGGTTGAGTTCTGCCGTGTGATTGGCTGTTTAGATATCTCTGCACCTACTCAGTGTTTAACCAGCAGTTTAATAGGTGTGCCGAACAAAGTGGCACACCTATTTAGGAGGACTCACAGAGGATGGATTTGTCGTGTCAGTTTGTGTCAGTTTATGTTGTTGGTTTTTTTTATCTATATAAAACAACAACAGACTCGGGATTCCTACCAGCTTCCAGCTGAACAGCAGCTGGAGGCAGCGTTGAGCAGATGAACCTGCTCGCTGACTTTCTCTCGCTTTGACTTTGAAACTGTAATGAGAGACACGATTTACAGATTAATTTTCATTACTGATTACTGTTACACTTTAGTGCCAGTAGAGGGCAGCACCATGGTTTATTCTTGGGCAGCTGTGCGACATTTGCTGACTTTCCCTACAAACTGCACCAGGTCTGTTAAATCAGCTTCTCATTAAAAACCAGAGTTCATTCATATGACCACAACCTTCCACCAGGGGGCGCTTTAACATAAACACACATGTCAGTTTTTCTTAAAGACAACATCACCAGCATGCTCAGAAGAACTCAAACACATTTTACATAAAGACAGTTGTGAAAGTTGGGAAAGTGAAATTGTTCCTCCTGCTTTTAGTTTGTGGCTGAAGTTAACCTGTGTGTTGTCTTTGTTATCTGCTCTGAAGAGGACTGAAGTGTGTTTGGGTTCAACACAACAACTCACGTTTTCCATCAGACATCTTTGTGAAACACACAAAAGCACACGAGAAGATCAAGTGAGACCAAAGTTTATTGAACCTGCAGAGAAACCAGATCACTGCTGTGGAGACGACAGCACACTTAGAAATAACATAAATAACAGCAAAGTTACTGAAGACATGAAAACATGGATTACATCTCCATTTTAGTTA